CATTGAGGCGACCCTGATGAAGACCCAGGAGGCTCCTCAGGGCTGCGAGTCCCGTGACCTCACGCTGCTTGTAGCTCCAACTGCTCCAGTTCCGGTGAAGCCACCACAGTTGTGAACCACATTCGGACCCAAGGACCCCTTACACCCACGAGGCAGCACCTCCATGTGCCACAGATATGAAAACATGGGGAAAAATAATACACAGGAGGGATTTCAATAAACGTGGTGCTAGATAAATTCTCATGCCATTGACACCTAGTTTTAATCCCCTGGGAAATGCAGACCAGAAAGTAAATCTCCAATATATTAGACAAATCAGGTGCCACTGCATCTACCTTCCCAGAGATGTGCCCTGAGGCAAACTTGCTGGTTTCCTATTTGGCACAGCAAACCACACGGTGTTTGCAGAGATCCTTTCCTTCGGACGCAGCTGAGGTTGGACTGGCGTTATAACGGCCCTAGAAAAACAAGCCTTCGCATTCCAAAATTTTGACGAGTTTTAGGTGAACACTCTCTCCCAGCCGCGGAAAGCAGTGAGTCAGTGTTTCCAAAGCCCCTCTTCTCTCGAAAAGACAAGCAAATGTGCTCGGGATGAGGAAAAATATGGAAAGGTTACCAGGTTCCTGGGCACTCAGAGTGAAGAGCGTTAAAATTTATTATTGTCATCATTTTCACAATCCCATTCTCAAACCACTAAAATGGGTGAAATTCTAGTCGCACGGACGGGACCAGGCCACTCAAAAAGTTATTTTTGAAATGTTGATTTTCCACAGCCAGCAAAGGGCCTGGCAGGAGCAGAAGTCATTCTCAGGAACAAAGATTCCTCCGCAGGGGAAGGAGGGTAGCGAGGCCTGGCTCTGCTCACGGGGTATCATTACGGTTGCCTCCGCTCCTATCAGACAGCGCACCCCATCTCAACACCAAACCAAGCCCGCTGGGACAGAGCCGCCAAGAATACGGAGATGATTTTTTCCTGCAAATTAAAACCACCACAAACACCGCTAGCAATTTAGATATGGCCGGATTACACATGTCATTGGAAAATGTTTAACCCTGAGTTTCCAGAACACACTCTATTACTGCCACAAATTATTTGCGTACATCTGGGATGCTAAGGGAAGACTGTGGTCTGTCACCATTTGGAATGTCTGCGCAGGACAAGAGGACGCTCAGGCGGTCTCAAAGAGCATGCTTGTGTGAGGGCTCAGAAGACAGATTCTTGGGGGGGGGGGTCTACGTTTTTCTTAGGGAAGAAGAACCTTGGAAATGCCTAGAAAAACGGGGATGAACAAATCCCACATGGTTTCACTTGTTTAATCATAAAACAGCAAGACAAAAAAGACAGTCCGCTGACAGCTTTACCAAACATCTTAGTGAAGACAAAGACCTCTCCGGATGATTCAACGCCTAAACCAGCCAAGCTAGCAAGTCAAGAAAAAAATGGACTCCTATCTGCCAGTGATGAATGGCTCATGGAGGGACAAAGCGTACTATTGTACATAGTTCCAGAAAGAAAGAAAAAATAATAATGTTTACTGGATATTTGCAGTGCAAGGTATCCCCCACGGCTGCCGCCACAAAAAAAAAAAAAGTCAAAAGTGAGGTGATTATAACTATACCCATTTTTATTACAAAAGGAAATTCAAAGTTCTGGCAGGAGATACACTGACCCAAAGGTTCTCCACTGATAAAAGAACTCACTGAGGCCAGCTGTGAATCCTGACGTCCCTCTACACCAGTAAACTTAGCCGGAGTGTCAGACAGAGATCTTCTTTCATCCACATACGTGTCTCTCTCCAACTGCTCTGATGCTGATCTGTGTGTGCTTCTGCCTGTGGTATACTGTAACCTTCTCAAAGGTTCGACGGCAGCGGCAGAGGCTTCTGCCTCCATCGGCATCCCCTGAGACCTGTGTGCACACGCCTGCAGCTTCTCCAGCCGAGAGTCCCTTCCTTCAGTTTTCCTGCTTCTGACTACCGTCCAACTTTGTCTTGGGGACAACCGCACTTTATAAAAAGAGCATCCCGCACTCGTGGCATCCACTCAGCACCACGCGCCACGCTGTACCCGGCACAATCCCACATACCGTCCACTGGTTTCGAGAGCCTGCTTTGGCAGGGATAACCGAGTTTCACATTCTGGGTCTCTCTTAGGACTTCCTTCTTCCTGAGTCCTCTCAGCATTTGGCTTTATTAGCCACACCTCCTTGAAAATGGACACCTGTGGAAGCATGTTCCTAGTTCTACCCCAGATCCACCCCTCCACCTTAGCAGGGCCCTTAGATACTAGAGTTCTCCACGTGACCATCCTGCTTTATCTTCTCAATGCTTCCTCTATACTTCAGGATTCAGTTCTCAGGAAACTCAAGTTCTTGCTGTCAGTCTGCATGGTCCACTTGTCTTTGGTATCTCCTAACTGCATTTTCCACTTGTCTTTGGGGATCTCAGATTGGGAGCCCCCAAAATGTCTTACTAAAACTCGCAACGAGTCACACTCATTTTACATTTCTTTTTAAGTTAAATCTTCTTGTTTTCTTGGCAAGTGGCACAGATATCTGCTGGACATCATGGGCAAGAAGACCTTCTGACCTGCTTCGGCTTTTCCTTACCTGGGCTCGGTCCTGACAGCTCAGCGAGTCACATGTCCCATTCCTTTGTCCCTGTGTCTCCCTCACCTCTGCCTTCCAAGTCCAGTCCTTTACCATATGTCACGTGACCCTCTCTCAAGTGACTGCTCGGCCTCCAGTCCTTCAAACTCTGTCATCTTCCCTCCTGCCATCAAACTGATCTTCATAAAATCGGATATCGCTGGCATTTTAGTTTTTGTAGAGCTTCAGAGGTTTCACCAAAGGTCAGTTTTCAAGGCATGGTTAGAGCAGAGCCATGCCGGGCGGTGGTGGCACACGCCTTTAATCCCAGCACTCGGGAGGCAGAGGCAGGCGGATCTCTGTGAGTTCGAGGCCAGCCTGGTCTACAAGAGCTAGTTCCAGGACCGGAACCAAAAAAGCTACGGAGAAACCCTGTCTCGAAAATTAAAAAATAAATAAATAAATAAAAAATAGAGCAGAGCCAGATGCTCAAGATGGGGTCCAAAGACAGGCCACTGGGTTGAAATTCACGAAGTTATTAAGGACCTTTGCCAAAGCAGGGTGTGAACTGAGTAGGTCACATAGAAAGACCTCAATCTGGCCTGGATTTCCAGCCTGAATCTTGAGAGCTGCCTTCCACGGCTGCTCTTTCTCCTCAGCATTCCCCGTCCATGCTCAGTGCGTGCTCACCCGTCTAGCCAGAATGTCTTTCTGTCTTCGGTTCATCTGGGAAATTTCTAGTTCTCCAGGGTTTTGTTTCTCTGCCCTTCCTCCACACAGCTATTGCGAGGGACCAATCCCAGAGCTAAGCAAGTACACTATCGCCCAGTGAAATTTCCAGCCCTGCCTAGCAAATTTCTAGTCACTCACCTGTCCTTCAAGGCTGCCCCACACCCTTCATCTTCCCTGGACAACTGTTCCCACACCTGTGTTCCCAGATGTCTCACCATGACAGCATCGCCCACTGGGCTTCAGAGTCTCCGCTGACTCACTCCCTCACCACGAGCCCTTCAAAAGCAGAGACCACACCGTTCATCTCTAAACCACCACGGTCTGGCTAGGTGCTTGGCTCAGAGTTGGATGCTCAATAAATCTGTGTTACGTGGATGAATTAATAGGGCTTTTCCTGTTCGCGGTGTTCAATTAGACGGCAGCTATACTCTCAGAGCACGGTGTGAGGACATGTGTCGCACATGAAAGAGCACCATAGCTTTCAGGCACACCTGAAGTCTGCATTTTGACTGAAATAGCTTTAAATTCTACAGAAGTCTGAACAACACTACCTAAGATAAAGATACAGTTGATAATCTGTCAACATCGTGGCTGTCTTCCCTAAAAATTCACTTCTGCCAAGTTCCACGTGTATCATCCACACACCCCAGCTGTTTACGACCCCTTAATTCACATCTGTCTCTTCCAACAGAGTTCAGATACGTTTTCACTTATCACCACGTTCCATCTGTCCATTCATCTCCCCAGCACCATCTCATACAACAGGAGGAAAATGCCCAAGTCCATTATAGCAAATAATTTAAATTCTGTATTATTTCTTAAGAGTGGAGACATTATTTTTATTGTCTATCAAAACTGTACCCTCAACCCAAACTTTTTTTTGCTTGTTTTTGTTTGTTTGGTTTTGGTTTTTCGAGACAGGGTTTCTCTGTAGCTTTGGAGCCTGTCCTGGAACTAGCTCTTGTAGACCAGGCTGGCCTCGAACTCACAGAGATCTGCCTGCCTCTGCCTCCCAACTGTTGGGATTAAAGGTGTGTGACACCACCGCCTGGTCTCAACCAAACTCTAAGTCAAAAAAAGCTCAACTAGTATTTTTGTGCCTAATATTTCCCAAGAAACATTAGGCATTAGATAGCAAAACGAAAAGCAAAAATCTACAGCAGGATGCATTATACTGTTGCAAAATATTTGTGTACACTGTGAAGATGCGTCTTTGCCAAGGAACCTTCTGATCGGTTTAATAAAGAGCTGGATGGCCAATAGCTAGGCAGGAGAGGATAGGCAGGATTTCCAGGGAGAGAGAGAACTCTGGGAAGAAGAAAGGTGATTTGCTAAGCAGACTCAGAGTAAGTAGGCCTTGCTTTACTGGGAAAAGGTAAAAGCCACGTGGCAGAACACAGAACATAGAAGCAGGTGAATTTGAGTTATAAGAGCTAGCTGGGGACAAGCCTAAGCCAAAGGTGTCATTATTTTCAGGCTGGGATTCCAAGAACGTCTTCTAAGAATGCATCTTACGTTACACTGCTAACACTCATCCTCCTATTTATTATCCGTCAGCCGACGAACTCACAAGGAAGCCCGTTCCTTAAAAAGGCAGCAAATGCCACACAGTGTGTACCTGTAGGCGGAGCAATCCCTGCTTGTGCTCCTCAGAGAATTCCCACGCTGTAGGCAGACTCACCTGGTGAGTTTTGGGGAGATGAAACGGGGGAGCCTCTCGGGGACTGACAGTAGCTGGGGTGGAGTAAGGCGTGTGGAGGCACATAGGACATGATCTCTTCCTCAAACAAGCTGGGGAAAGACATGAAAGAGAAGACAGATGTTAGCTAAAGAGGCTGAGGAAACCGCGTCTGCGGGGAGGAAGAGGAAGGACCCTGTGGAGCCTCTTGTTTTCCTTGATTTAGCAGGTAATTTCCTTCCACAGTTTCATACTTAGAAACAGCCATATACAAGTAAAACATAATTCTGCTGTGTGCATTTTAAATGTTCTCTGTCTCTACTACACTTGAGTTTTATTGACCTCCCTCAATCAACAATATTATTGTAGTCTGATATCTGCATGGCTACGTACGAGTCGAGGATATCCCTTTGGCTGGCTGTGTATCAGGCCATTCAATAAACATACTAGTTTATTTATCCCTATTTTTTTTGAAAAATATTTACCCTCTCCCCATGTGGTAGTTTGAGTATAATTGCCCCTCCCCATAAGCTCACAGGGAGTGGGATGTGACTTTGTTGAAGTAGGTGTGGCCTTGTTGGAGGAAGTGTGTCTCTGTGGGAGCAGGCTTCCAAGTCTCCTATGCTCAAGAAGCTGCCCAGTGTCTCAGACTACTTCCTGTTGCCTGCAGATCAAAATGTATCCTACCCCAGCACCATGTCTGCCTGCATGCCACCATGCTGCCCCATGATAATAATGGACTGAACCTCTGAAAAGGTAAGCCACCCCAATTAAATGCTTTTCCTTCAAGAGTGTTGCCATAGTCATGGTGTCTCTTCCTAGCAATAGAAACCCTAACTAAGACACCCTAACTGCCTGCTTTTTATTACCAATGGTGCTACTCCCCAGCCTCTGCAGGCAGTATACACATACAATGTGTGCGCACGCACATACACACACACACACACACACAAAGCAAAAACTCCCAGACATGTAAAAATAGATACATAATTCTTAAAAATGCAAGAATGTTTTTAGCTTTTTTAATTGTACGAGATGTTGCCAATTTGTGTGCAGAGATGTTGTCTCAAGAGAAACTTCAGTCTCCTCAAGCCAGGTAACACGAGAGTGCCTCAGCCTCACTGGCATCATTAGACTTTTTGAGGATCTACAAATGTCATGTCAAACAGTGGCTCATTGTACACAACTTCAGCTTTTGGTCACCAGCGTCTTCCCACACACCTGCATGAATCAAATTCTTCAAATCCTGTGAGATGCCATCTCATTTCCTTTACCGAGTGTTTGGTTCTTGTCTTTTTTGTTTGTTTGTTTGTTTGTTTGTTTTTATTTTTTTGAGACAGGGTTTCTCTGTAGCTTTGGAGGCTGTCCTGGAACTAGCTCTTGTAGACCAGGCTGGCCTCGAACTCAGAGATCCGCTAATTGAAAGTCATTCTTCCCCTGCTCGTTATCTGTTGTCAAAATCACCCTTTCCGCTTGCTACATTTTTCGTGCCTTTACTTCTGGCATCTTTTGTTGTACAACTTGAAAATTTTTTATATGTTCAAATTCACCTACTACTTCCTATGTGAATCCTGATAATGGCAAAGTGTTAATGAAATTAGTTACTGGAATAACTAATATATAATAATAATAATTGAATATAGGAAATGAATACTCAATAGCAAATTCAACAAAGGTATTTAAATTTTTACAATATTTTATAATAGTCATAGAAAGATACCTTAAAATAGGTTCGATTTGATTTGAATATTGTGCCAAAGCAGCACAGCCTCACACTGTGACTTACTGATAATCAAGCACATTTGTACCAGGACTGCTCCTTCCCTCTAAGAAGTAAAACCCCAAAGAGACACAGACACACCCAGTAAGTACGCAGCAAGTATACTCTTTCGTGTGCAAAGAAGTAAAACCCCACATTTCCCACAAGTAGGGAATACTGTTCATTAGGTAATTACAAATAGTATATTGTACTACTGTATACTATTAATAAATACATTCGATAACCCAAATAAAATGATGATCTAGAACTGAGTGTATAACATGTTCAAACGATAGAATTATTATGTGTGAGCAAATTCTTCAACTTCTTCAAAGGCTGTTTAGTTTCAGCGAACACGTTTATTTTCCCAAGCACAATGTGATGTAGTCTTGCTCTTTACTGGTGAGATTTTTTTTTTTTAAAACTTCCAATTCAACCATGCAGGATAGAAGAAATGCATGTAGACTATGGTCTTTAACAATGTACACACATTTTAGCTATAATTAATGAAAACACTTAGGACCACACCACCTAAAGATTATTTAACTAAAGACAGATGGAGAATAAGCCGGTGAGCCACGGTCACACCATTTTGAAAAGCTTTTGGTTTGGTGTCAGTGAGACTATGGTAATCTGAATTCCAGATGTATTTTCTTAATTCCTGCCCCCTGCAGACACCTTGATAATGGCAGCTGTGATGTTTATCCATCATCTGACATTCCTTTACCCACTACTTCCCAACCTCCTTGCCCATTTCCTCTTCTGCCCTATAACTGAGCCCAGCTTGTGTGCGTGCATACGGGGTTCCGATTCTTTGGGATTCCGGCTAGAGGGTTTTTCTCCCAAATAAAAGCCTGTATTGTCTTAAGATGCTTGTTTTCTTGTCTGTCTCTCCTGCTGCTGACCTTCTCAGAGACAGTCTGACTATCTGGGAGGCTGGACTATTTTCAGAACTAGTTCAGTACGTCTCGGTTAAAAGGGTCTCTGGCTAGTTTGAGAAGCGACACCCTGTCCCCAAGAGTCTTCAGAGTCAAGGGAGGAGAAACACTTTTGGGAAGTGATCGTCTCATGGGAATCTTCCTTCAACAGCAGCAAAGAAGTAGCAAGAAAGAAGGCAACAAGCACTAGGTGGGAGAAAATCAGAGTCAGGGTCAAAATAAATGGGGGGAAAAAAAAACCAACAAAAAACCCAAGTCAAAACCAAACCAAATAAACAAACGAAAATCCCAACTCCTGGAGGCCTTTAGCACTGAGTGGCCAGCTCCTCATAGCTGCTCTTGATCTTAGGGAGGCCTCAAGGGCAGCTTCCAACCAGTGGGTCCTGCAAAGCTTGGCTTTAGCTGTGATTCTTCTCTGCTTGGGGGACGATGTGAAACATGAGGAAGTTTTGACAGCTGCCCTCGCCAAGACCTCTACAATTTAAAACCAAACCCGATCTAACCACCATGAAAGAAAACAAAACGGGTCCATTCCACGAAGTGCTGTCAAATTGGCAGGACCGTTGACCAAACGAAGACCTTTCCATTCCCCCAACTTAAACTCTCAAAACCGTCAAGTAAATAGTCTACGCCTAAAATCTAGCCAAAGGAGGCAGAGCACATTCTGAGAAGAAGAGGAAGAAGAGGAGGAAGAGGAGGAGGAGGAGGAGGAGGAAGAAGAAGAAGAAGAAGAAGAAGAAGAAGAAGAAGAAGAAGAAGAAGAAGAAAGTGGAAAGAAATAGAGATGTGACCTCCACTCTGCACTGAGGGGCGAGCTGCACAGTCTTATAAGGCTACCCCCTGCTCTGCTCCTTGAGTGGGACTTTTGATTTGCTTGTCATTATAACCTTTCCCTCTTCCAGTGCTGCGAAACATGAATAAGCAAGTCTCGGGGAGGCTATCAGGTGTCATTGGAAATGAATCCTTCGGAAAGCTGCATCCTAAGTCTTCAACGCACGATTTCCTTAGACTTTGAGGAGAAAGGAGACGCCTTTAGGCTGCCAACCCTGGCATATTATTTTCTAAAAGCGGGACACTGCCGCCTGCAGTCCCAACGGCCCCTACCTCAGGAGCATGACGAGGTCCGCATCGCTGGAGAGCCGAACCAATCCAGGGGTCCCTTCAGTTCGGATAAACTGGATCTTCTCCCTGTGGGGGCAAGGAAACAGGGCAAATGGATGTGTCAGGCTCCGGGATGTAACTTTTTGGATGACCATGTGTTCTATCACGGCTGCCGCATTTTGGGTCCCTATTAAATGGCACTGTGTTATGGAACCTTGGGGATACAAATCCCCAACAGACATAGTCCTTGCTTTTGGGTAGAACATTTTGGGACTGGACTGAGGTAGTAGAGTCCTTGCCTAGCATGCAGGAGACCCTGAATTCATTCTTAGCACTATAAGGAAAACAAAAAGGACAAAACAAAACATATAATGAAAGGACCATATTCTATTATTATTACTATAGAATATAGTTATTCTGTTGCTTCCAACACTCCACTAAGCATCATTATAGATACACAGTACTGCTCCCAGCTGGTAAAACCAGTCCTCATTCTGAGCTAAGGCCACCTGTGGGTTTGAATCTAAGCAACACTTCTAAAGGGGGGACCCCTTGCTCTTCCGAAAGCAAGCACCCAGATTTCTCTCCTGCCATTGCAAACGTGTTGCGGAGGGATATCCACCGACTTTCCTGAAGATGGACCCGCAAGTGACATGGGCCAAAGCGCTGTCACACTTGGAAACAGACAGCGCCCGTGCTCGTAACCTCGGTCAAAAAAGAAGACAGCTATTTTAAACAGCGATGCGTTCTTAGCTATGAAGACTCGTCAAGCAGATTGTGTGTCTAAAGTGCAAATGGAAACAGACCTCACACGCCAGACACAACGCTGTGGGCGGGGCTGCAGGTCAGTGGTTGAGTGGTTGGCTGGAACATTCAAGGCCTTGTGCGGGGAGCCCTAATACAGCACGCGAGCGCACACGCAGTGCACTGACATGTGATTTCTCCCATTCATTATCTGACCATAGATACATGTGGTAACACCTTTGGTTGTGCCAATCAAACCTTTTCTTTCTCTTAATTTATCTCATGTTATTTCAGAGCACACCATAGCGATGTGTAAGAGGAGCGGAAAATGTAAGTGCAAGCCATGGCCCCAAAGCCATTTCCTTTGATGGAGCGTGGAAGCCACTCTGGGAGCTAAGGACAAGGCGTTCTGAGAACCGCAGCGTAACATGGAGGCACCTCTGCCTACTCTTCTGGCTTCGGTTCTGATCTGTAGAGCACCGGGCTTCACCAATTCCACTGCATTTTAGGTTCCTAGGAGCCAAGTCACCTCATTAAGATTCTCAACAGAGCTGAAAGCCGCGGGCTAGAAGGTAAGGCTAAGGTGTCCAGATGAAGAGTCCCCAGACACGTAGAAACTGACTTCCCTCTGGCTGCTCAGCTTACAGGGTGAGGGGATAGGCTTCAGGCCCTGGTGTCCTCTGGTTAGATCTATTTTACATTATTAGTACAGGAGGCACCTGACTTTTATTGTCTTTAGAAACGTTTCTTTTCTGTCCTGTATAGTCAGCAAGAGACTATGAAGACATGGTACTTGGACATTCATTTTCAAGAGATGTGAATTTTCAAGAGAGGCCAGGTTCTCTGCAAAATCTCTCTGCCTTGAAGATCAGAACCAGGAAGGGTGGTGTCCACAAGTCTTAGCATCGGATTGGGAAGCACATGCTGGAAATCAAGGCCTATTATCTGGTGAATTCTTTTATAAGAGATCTAGGGATTAGATTTTAAGAAATCTAAATTAGAAAAAAAATTATCTTGTAGGAAAAGGAACAGTTCCTAAGAAGTCCCGTGTAAGGGCCGATAAAGCCATGCTTTGATCTTGGAACCGTCTCCAGCAAATACACGCTTTATCTCTCCAGTCTACAGTCATGAGGCAGCAAGGCAGATGAAACAAAAGCAGAAACCAGGCTTACACTTTCCCCAGCTGTGCTCCCTGGAATGGGACAAGGCGATGGCACAGACGCTAGGTTCTGACCGTAGCGTGGCCTGCAGATATCCGGTGAATAAGAGGACCATCATCTCCCTCATCTGAATCACAGGGAAGACCCAGAGAAGGCAAGGAAGGAGCCTGGCATCGGAGGCAGGAGGTCAGCGGGAAAACTGCTCAGCGCTCTCGCTACACTAACTACTAGGCAACGGAAACAACTGGTTTTGATTTCTCAGATGAGAACACAGCGAGGCGGACTGAGACCAGTTTTCTACCAGGCCAGAATATTTGTCACGGTGACAAGCTATGGGTCACGCTTCCAGGAGAAAGCGCTAGAGTGTATTAGAAACTGGTACCATCTGTTACCTTCTGAATTAGGGAGTTTCTTTCTTTTCTTTCTCTCGCCCTCCTTTCTTCTTTTCAAGACAGGTTTTCTCTGTGCAGCCCTGGTTGTCCCGGAACTCATTTTATTGACTAGATTGGCCTCAGACTCAGAGATCAGCCTGCCTCTTCCTCCTGGGTGATGGGATTAAAGGTGTGAGCCAGCACTACCCAGCTCTTTACTCCTTTCTTAGACTACTTCAGCATCCCTCTTTTCTTCAAGCATTTCTCAAGCACTTAATTTGTGCCGGGCACAGTCTCCCGTGGACTTGGAATCCAATAAAAAAAACCACATTGGGCAGTGGTGGCGCATGCCTTTAATCCCAGCACCCGGGAGGCAGTGACAGGCAGATGTCTGTGAGTTCGAGCAGCCTGGTCTACAAGAGCTAGTTCCAGGACAGCCAGGGCAGCTGTTATACAGAGAAACCCTGTCTCAAAAAACCACGGAAGGAAGGAAGGAAGGAAGGAAGGAAGGAAGGAAGGAAGGGAGGGAGGGAGGGAAGGAGGGAGGGAGGGAGGGAAGGAGGGAGGGAGGGAGGGAGGGAGGGAGGAAGGAAGGAAGGAAGGAAAGAAAACCACAAAAATGCCTACCCGGGAGCTTATGGTGCTATAGCAAGCCAAAGGCAATTCCCAATAGTATATAAACCTATGCCAAGTGTTCTGTTCCTATACCCTAACTCTGTTTTAGGCCTTAGCTAGAGGTTTTTTTTTCTAAAGTCTTTTCACGTAAAAACAAAAACGAGCTTCGCTTATTGATGCTTAAGAAAATGAACCAAGGGAGAGGAAGAGAGAATTCAGCAGAGTCTCAGAAATGGCACCTGCTTTCCAAGAATGCAGAAGGAAACGCTCCTTGGTTATCACCGATTTGCCCAACGTCCTATAGACCATTGTTCCTCAACCGGCTACCTCGTCTATGAGAAATCTGCAGATACCACGCCAAGTTCTGCAGCAAGTTTTAAGTGTTTTCTCATGATTGAAGCCATGAATGTTAGAGAAGCATGTAGAACACATGCATGATTGTCTGCTACCATGGGACTTCATGTCCCATGACGTGTAGTTGCAAGACAAGTACTCAGCAATTAGACACAGACTCTTCAAGTGTTAGCGAGCAGGGCTGTCTGCCCTTCCACTGATGTGGAAGTCCCCTCTGTATACTGTGAATACCACTGGTTAATAAAGAAACTGTTCTAGGCCTGGGATAGGGTAGAATAGAGTAGGCTAGGCGGGGAAAACTAAACTGAATGCTGGAAGAAAAGAGGCGGAGTCAGAGAGAAACCTTGGAGGTGCCGCTGGAGACAGACACGCTGGAACCTTGCTGGTAGGCCATGAGCTTCATGGTAAAATACAAAATAATAAAAATGGGCTAAATTAAGATGTAAGAGCTAGCCAGTAAGAAGTTAGAGCTAAAAGGCCAAGCAGTGATTTAATTAATACAGTTTCTGTGTGGTTATTTTGGGAGTCTGGGTGGCCGGGAAATGAACAAGCGGCTTCCATACTACATTACACCACCAGGGCCTTGTTGTCAAGTATGGCAACGGCACCTGTCTTCTGCTCATGCACAATTCTCTTACTGGAAGGACAACTTTTCTGCTACATTATTAATTTCCATGGAAATGATCAAGGGATGCTAAGTCATATAGGTTGCCACAGGCTACAGAGAAAATGAAGAGATGAACTTAAAAAGGATATTATAGAGTTATGCTAAGTAACGTATGAACCCTGCTCACTAACACTTTAAGAGTCATGTCTAATTGCTGAGTGCTTCTCTTACAACTACACGTCATGGGACATGAAGTCCCATGGTGGCAGACAGTCACGCATGTCTTCTACATGCTTCTCTAATGCTCGTGGCTTCAGTCACCAGAATGAGAAAACACTTAAAACTTGATGCAGAACTTGGGGTGGGATGTGCAGGTCTCATTCTATGAACAGAAGTTCAAAAGCATCCTGCAAATAGAAAAGTGGTGGAATTCACACATCACGGGATGCATTCACTAACATCTTCACTATAATATTTGGGAATATTCTAAATAAACTGATGGGCTAAACCAACAAACCTGTGACTACAAGAGGGTTTTCTATTGTGAAGGAGATAACGGAGACTGGGATAATGCCAAGGATGCGTGTCACAGACCATCAGAGACCAAAGCACAGGACTGAGTCAAACACCGGGCAAACAAAAGACACGTGCCTCTTTCTACTGGTAACAGTCTCAATATCTATTATTTGACTCTTGAAAAAAGATCTCAGATAAAGTATTCATTCTCTTGCCTCTCGGCATTCTGGCAAAGATAAGTCTACAACCTGTGTGTATCAGTTTAATATAGGATAACCCTCTGCCCAAGGACAGCATATGAAGTGGATTTGGGAAGCAGAGGGAGGGGACAGGAGCTCGGTCCAACCTCTCTATACATCGCCCTGGTGTCGCAGCTCATCCAGAAACAGCATACCCTTCAGGGGGACTTACAAAAAGAGAATTAATTTATATCATATAATTTTCTCGGTTTTAATTTATACATCTCTTGGTTTGTGGTTCATAAGAATTATAATCACGGGAAAGTGATATGCGTTTTATATTTAAGCATATTTAAGTTTCTTCAGAACAGAAGAGGCCACAGTCAATGTGAGTGATCTGCTATTCCTCTAATTCTTTCAGAAAATGAGACTGAATTCATATGAACTTCCACAGAGCTGCTTAGTATCTGGAATTAACACCGTTTGAAACATGTTACTGACACACTCGACTGTAATTAGAGGATTCTGAATACTACTTTAA